TTGATTGATGATTGGCTTGGATTTTCATGATTAGAGGGCTAGAGCAAGATTTTTACGCGACTTGTGGTTGAAGGCTAGGCTGGCTGAAGTAAGTATCTTCTTGACTAATCTTGTTGAGAGAATAACCCCTAGGATATGACTTTGTTTGCCTAATTAAAATGTGCGAGAAGTAACGTATATGCGAGGTGACGAGCGTATATACGGGTGCTATATATGATTCGTGATCGGAGTAGTCTTTAGGCCGTACTATGCCTGGATTTGGATATTGTGCTTCTTATATCATGCTTTATATGTTTGTATTACTATGTTAACTTCGTGAATCATGTTAGAGATCATGTGTACGTGTTGATTCTCTGTTTGAGCATGATATTTGCTATTGTATGGCGTATTCGCGGAGCTAAGCTGTAGTTATACACTTTGCACATGCATACACCTTAGCATGCTATTTTTCACAACTATGAATATGTGATTTGATATTCGTTATTCGTGTACATGTATTCTTGTATAAGCTATATGTGTGATGGACTAGATTGATAGCACGTGAGTGGTCCGTGCGGATTGAGTTATTAAGGTACGTAAGTTGTCCGTGTGGTTGTTATGATTATGGCACATGAGTTGTCCGTATAGTTATGGCACGTGAGTTGTCCGTGCAGCGTGTGGATAATGATTCATTCCCTTAGGGTCACCCTTTCATGTTTCTCTCTTGATGGTGTGCACGCAGATTGTGAGAAACCAACAGGTTTTTGGTTGACGTGGAGTATAGAAATTGGATCATTGATTGGACTTTGCATCTCTTGTCTATTTTCAAATTCCTTAAATGTATACATGATTTTCACTGCATATCTTCTCTATATCGTAGCTCCAGAATGTGTACATGCCTTTTATGCATATCTTCTCTATATGATGCTTTACTTGATGAGATTATTCACGGTACATATCTTCTCTATATGTGGACCCGAGTAACTTGTCTTGTTTAATCATGCATATCTTGTCTATATGCAACTACTGACGGATTACTTGATATTTCATGTATATCTTCTCTATATGCAACTATTGACGGATTATTTGATATTTCACGCATATTTTCTCTATCTGCAAGCTTTGATGAATTAATGATGTAGACGCATACCTTCTCTATGTGCTGAACTGTTAAGCTGGTATAGTACTTGTGTATATCTTCTCTATATGCAATTGTTAACGTGTTAGCTGGTATCAAATGCATATCTTCTTTATATGTTGAACTGTTATGTGACTTGCGCACATCTTCTCTATGTGCACGATTGGTTGTACCTATATTTCATATTTAAATTCGATGATATTGTTGGGTACATTTATATGTTATTGAGTTGTGCAGGTTATGTAAAGTGATTATCCTTGACTTGAGACCTCGTTACTACTTCATCGAGGTTAGTGAGGATACTTACTGAGTACATGAGATCGATTGTACTCATATTATACTTTTGCACCTTGCATGCAGATCTTGGAGTTGAGTTGTTGTGGATGACGAAAGCGGGCATTGAAGATGTATATGTGTTCCATATATATGTTATCACTTGTTCTTGGTAGTTTAAAATGTATACTCTAATTATGTGTATTCAAACGGATGTTATATTTATTCTTCATACTATCTTTGTAAATCAAAATCTTAGTGGCTCATGACTTGTACTACTTATCCTTGGGATGTTGTGTGGAACTCGGCTATTTTATTCACGGATTATTGACGACCTTCTATTTGAGTTGTATTATTCATTATTTGGCTAACCTAGCATGTTGGGTTAGGTTCTATCACGACTAGATAAAATTTTGGGTCGTGACACTAACCTTAGAAGTTAGAATGAAAATTCTCTAAAAATTGCCTCCTTACGAAGCCTATGGAATAAAATAAGCTAATCTCAAACCCTTCCCTTTTTACCCAACTGCAGATATCGCAATTGCGAAACATTCTTCGTAATTGCGCAGCTTGCAAACGCGACCCGATAATCGCAATTGCGAAAAAACTCCTGAGCCTATAAAGTCGCAATATGACTGGACCATTGCAATTGCGAACCTCAACATCACAATTGCAATACTGGCTAGGGGTGTTCAAAACCGAACCGAAACCGAAAACCGAACCGAAACCGAAGCTTAATGACTTATTGGTATCGGTTTAACGGACGGGGAACGGATTGAAATTTTTTTATTAACGGCTTATCGATTTGGGGGCGGATTATTCAATTTTCTTAACGGATAATCCGTTAACCCGTTAAGAATATATATATATATATAAATAATCAAAAACCATTCTTCCACTTCCAGTACTCTATCTCTGTTCTCTATTACTAATTTACTATTAGACATTTAGTTATAATTTACTATTCCATTTAGTTACTATTNCAATTGCAACAACAACAACACTAGCAATGGCAAACTCAAAAGAAATGTCCTGAAACCAATCTGAAACTCACTCGAGCCCCTCGGGACCGCATCCAATCATCCCAACAAGTCTATATACCTGACACAAACTTTATCTAAGGGTCAAAACACCAAAAATAACATTAAAACAAGGAACCAATCACCAAACCAAGAATTTCAAAAGTTCTAAAGTTCAAATTTCTAACTTTCGACTAGAAGCGCCAAAATGGCCTCGGGTTATTCGAGACATAAACTAAACATACGTACAAGTTCAAAATTATCATACAAAGCTAATGCAATCATTAAATCACCAATTCGGGGTCGTTTACTCAAAAGTCAAATATTTGTCAACTCCAACAACTTAAAGCTTCCGAAATGAGAATTCTTCTTCCAAAACACTCCCAAACCTCTCGGAAATCAAAACTAACCATGCACCGAAGTCATAAAACTTCAAAAACGTACTTGAAGTCTCAGATCACAAATCAGAGCGCTACATCTCAAAACAACCGATCGAGTCATTACAGATAAAAATCGGAGCGCCATACAATCGCACAATTTCTTTAATGTACAACTTGGCATACTGCTAAGTTGTATAGGTAGTCTTCACTAGTAGAAATATTATTAAGAAATAATACTTATATTGTTCAAAATCGATAGGCTTTATAAGCTGCGTACGATAGATTCTTGTGGTCCGGCCCTTCCCCGGACCCCGCGCATAGCTGGAGCTTAGTGCACCGGGCTGCCCTTTTTTATTGTTAAAAATCGAAGTCTCTCTTGTGTTGTGCTTGATAAATCGCTTGAATTTAGAACCCATGTGCAATGGTTATATGGTACAAGATGGCTTGAAATCTTGTGCTTTAATATTCAAACTTGAAGCCCTGCAAATATGTCGTGATCATTACATGAATGCAAAGTTCCTCCTTTCCAAGGTGTTTATCGCTTATCAGTGTAATATAAGGATTTAAAGTCTAAAGTGTTAAGGGTTATTATTAAATTCAAGCTTCCAGCATCATTTGCTGGTGTGTGGCTTTAGAAGATTAAGCTTGGAAGTACATAATCAAGGTATGTTGGCAACATTTTCATTACCGTTGACTTCTAATTTGTGTTTGGTTTTACCATATTTTTCTTCTGTGCATTACACACTGTTAACTTTCATTTATTGAATTAACTCTGTAGAAGAATCTGAATGAGTTCAGATGCATTTTCACTATCATCCGGCTCTAATTTCACTGCAAAGAAGTTAAAAGATACCATTCCATGTTGTTATAATTGTGATATTTCTTGTGATATTATTCCAGTTTTGTATAATTGTGCAGGCCTGCGATGTTCAAGCTAACGATTATAAGTTGGTTGCTCAAATGTTCTTTGCGAGTAATGTGAATACAACATAAAAGTCAATACATGCTACTCTGCTGAGCTTGTTAGAAGCTAATGCTACCTCGAGCCCTAATCAACGTACATACAGGTCCAAAACTATCATACAAACTTATTAGAAGCTTCAAACTGTGATTTCAAGTATGTTAATCCAAATTGCTGATTTTGGTCAATTCTATGAACTTTAAGGATTCAAGTTAAGATCAAGTGTTTCAAATTATTTCCGAACTCTTCGGGACCAAAATCATCCATACTCGCAAGTTGTAAAACATCAAATGAACATACGGGAAGTCTCAAATCATAGAATGTGATGCTAGAACTTAAAACTACTTGTTGGGTAGTTACACAATAATCCACCTTCAAACCACCAACCAACCTCATAAATACCATAAACCTTCATAAATTATCACAATTAATGAACTTGGAGTGGTTGAATTACCTTGTAAGTATTCAAATCTTGAAAATTCCTCTTTTAGGTATTCTTGACGATATTTGAAATATTCTATGAAATTCCAAGATTAGTACTCCTTTTATATCGTCTCGGCCAATATACAATTATTCAAACTAAAGAAGAAAAAAACTAAAACAAAGATTACTAACATATAGTTGATGCGCTATAAAACTTGATTCAATAACATAATGATGCATCTGGTTCCAAAATTGAACTATGAACTATCACGTACATATTTTCTCCAGTGACTGTAGCCTGTATCGTCTTGACTTGCATTAAATGCAATCTGATTTTTAGTGGTATGATATAAGAGGTTTGAAAAAATAAAGGATTGACTTGTGACTTGTCATTTGATCTATTTAAAGATGAATCTTTTTCTTGGAGCTGGAATAACTTGTTATTCCTGACTCTAAATTTCTTGTCCCTTTTATAAAGTATTCATATTTCCTAAAACCCTTTTAAATTAGATTTCACACCAAACAAGAAATTCAGTTCCGCGCTGCTTCTCAAGTCATCGGACCTATACGCCAAGGGATTCATGGAACTTCTGTAAATTTTATCCATCTTACAAATTATTTTAGGTTAGGAAACGGAATGATTTCCTTATATGAAAGCTTCTATACATTCTTTTGTTTGCAGGTATAACTCATTCTTATGGACCAAATTGCTGTAACATTACGAGGACAATGGAATTATTAGTTCTGTATACAAAAATAGCTGTACCAGTTAATTATAGCAGAAACCAATGATGTTCTATCTTCTTTTTTACTTGTGAAATTCATAGTACTGGAAAACACACATCTTAATACAAACTCGAAATTACACGTCTAAGGTCAAAACTTGCAAAATGTTTTTACAGCCGCGGCATGAATCACACAGAATTTTACAATGGAAACTCAAATTCTCCTATACAATAGCATGAAATGAATCAATAATGCTTTGATGAAGCACCTGAAAAGCAACAAGAATGAATAAAGACCCTTAAAAATACAAAACTAAATCATGCATTGAGTACCTTAATTGGTGTGATTATTCTAATCAAATAGCTGAAAGACTGGCCCATTTCCCGAGTTCGTAGGGATCGGCATAATAATACAACTTGATTCTATTAGCCAAAGACAGTCCTGCTGCCACAGTCCGGACTCTAGCATCTGAATCATCCTGCTCTGATGGGTCATCAGTGAATGCAGCAATATCCCCAAGAAGCCGAAATGAGATTCGGCGAGTACAAATTTCTCTAGGGAAATCAAAGTACATTGCTGTCCCGGCCTTCACTTCTGGCAGCCTATGTTCTGCAACAGTGACCATACTGTGCGGTTCCTGTAGATAAATGTCATGAGAATTGTATACTTTAACTGCGGAAAACCACATCATCAGGGCATATTTCAGAAATTAGACGACAGTTTCTAGGGAAACCAAGCAGGTGGCTTTTTTATAGCTCAACAAACTTGTCCATGCATTAAAACCCATATCAATCTCGGGTGTGGATTGAAAAGAAATTCCTCTAGGAAGGCAGAAAAGAGGAATTGTCTGGGTCTCCGGCCAGCCTTACTGGCGAACTGTCCTGTATTCGCATAAATGATTTGACCCAAGAATTCTTACCACACGGGAGGGAAAGAAAGTCCATTTCTTTCAGCTAAAGATGGTGGTCATAAACTAACAAAACAGTTTCCATCACCGAGAATGCTTGATTTTCTAGTTATTCGCATTGTCACCAAGGATGGGTAGATTCTTTTCTTCTCCATGAAGCAAATTCTAGTTGAGTTCGACGAGAAACATACGATAGACAATGCAATAGTTCTGAAATGAATAGGAGTAACATAAAAATGTCAATATATGTCTAGATCCAAATGTCTCTGTTGAAGCATTTTGTCACAAAATCTTCACTTTGATCTAGAAGAAATTCTGGTAAACCCAAACCATCCATCACTAGCAAGACGAATTCCAATGACGCTATGTTTCTCCTTGTGCAAGCTGAGGGCGACAGTGAAAAGGTAAGGATTTATTGCTGGCATGCATGTAAGCATGTTAAACTCTATATATCTACCTACATCATCCAAGGTCCAATGGAACTAACCTACTGAACGTTTTGAAGCCAGATTACTTGGTTGTCAGGTGACTCACAGGAGTCTATCTCATAACACAATTCATGCATATAACTGGTTCACAATATTAACTTGAATATACGGCATCTTGCATCAATGCGATCTATTCATTAAAAAGAATCGATTCAATACATTTCTTATGTACCCATAGGTGCTATATTGGATTTGAATCAGATTTCTGATCAATCTATATCGAGTGACACATTTGCCAGCATGTAAACACTAGGATAATGCATGGAAGAACTATGTTCATTTGAGGGAGAGACTGATATATATGTTATATGCTGGCAAGAATATTGGAGCAAGAAAACCTCATGAAAAGAAGGTTACCAATCTGTTCTAGATATTATTTGTGTGGCCAAGATGCAGAGACAATTAGCCATCTGTTTCTACATTGTAGAGTGACAAGACAACTGTGGGAGTTGTTCATTAACATCGGGGGTATCCGATGGACAATGCCAGGAAGAACATATGAACTTTTGTCTAGCTGGAACACAGGGGGGAGCTCTACATCTAACAAAGATAGATGGAAAATTGTCCCAGCAGCCATTTGGTGGACAATTTGGAAGGAGAGGACTGCAAGGTGTTTTGAAGATATAAGTAGCCCTGTACAGAAGATCAAAATGAATTGCATTCTTCTTTTTAGTTTTTGGTGTAAAGCAGAATATATAGATGATCAGGATTCAATCATAGAAGTCTTAGGCTCCTTGTAAGAAGAACAGGGAAGTTTAATTTTTGTTTTTGTCTTAGCTCTTGATGTAATCTTGGTTCCAGTACAAAATTTGTGCTGATGATTTATTAATATATTGGATCTGTTACCATCTCAAAAAAAAATATTGGAACAGTTTAGGTTACTTAAGCTGATACTTGCAAGAGGAATTCTCAGGTTTAGCCCATCCTCTCCAATTTAATCTCATGCTGCAGGTCATTAGCAAACTGAGATTTTGCACCAGTGAGGAAATTCATCTAAATGCATTGGTGTCTAGTGCTAAAATCGGATAAAAAATCTATAGCTTTTCAAGATCAACCATGGAATCAATTCACAAGAAGGATGTCCAACAGTTTGTTGACAGCGAAAACTATCAGTTGATAAAATGTTAGTTTGTCTTCATACCTGGAAAGCAGACACTTGAATATACAATACAGCTGGACATATGAATCTGTCCTCCAATACACATGAAGAAACACCCCATGGATTCGCATGCTGTGGAGGTGGCGAATGGGTGACTCGAGGTTTTATTGCACTAAAACCATCAAGACGAAAACCTGCCACCATAGGTGAAACTGGGGCTAGAAACTGTTCTAAAACAAGGTCGTTGTCAGTTAGCCTCTCAACCTCAATTGGGACCTGGAACGGGAATGGATTAGAATATTATTCTTCTTTTTTATTTCAGGACTTGAACAAAACTTTAAACGGTAACTGCTACTAGAGAGAGTTGTGAGTTTGCTGCACCTTGAATCTATTTAGTGGAGGAGGTTTATCCAACCAATTTCTTGTATTTATCTGGTCAGAGCCTTGACTTGATGCCCCAACATCTTTCCTCATTGGGCTTCCGACCACCAAGATTCTTTTGGCATGAAGGCATGGGTCACTTTCAACTGTTCCTCCAAAGGAGGCACGCCTCACAGGCTCCGCAAATGGGTTCTCCTCTAAGGACAAAAGACTCAAGTCTTTCTCAAAATTTACAGAACTCGAGCCAATTTTTTGTAGACGCAATGTTATCCAAATGATGCGGCAGCGAACAGGATTATGAAAAGAAAATTTTACATGTCTAGGCACTTCAGAAGACTTTTCTTGTCCACAAAGCTCAGAGGAAGACGTGATCAGAGATTTCATATCCCATTTCCCCACACATGATCTTTCTTCCTTGTGGATTTTATTGCTTGCCCAAATTTGAACCTACAGAGACAGCATAAGTTTCCTTACTTAATGCAAGAATTCAGCAATGTAAGGAATGTGAAACCACATCAATTACAATTGGAATAAATTGCATGAACAAGAAGCAATTTGCTAGGAATCTGTCATAAGCAAGTTGCTAAACTAGGATAAAACCTACAGGCATACTACAAGTAGTTAAAGCATGAAATAGGCAACATACTACAGTGATTGCATGATGAAAGAGAAATTGCATGAACAAGAAGCAAGTCGCTAGGAATCTGTCATATACAAGTTTCATCTTTATGGTCAATCTAGGCCCATTTAAACCATTAGGTATATTACAAGTTACTCAACAACGAGCTTAACAGATAGTAGTTAATTAAACATATGGCACGATTACGTAGACTACTAAACCAACATTTAAGATTGTTTCTCAGGAAAAATAAAAGCAGTCACACAAAACACAAGAAGAAACATCTTATCACAATCCATCCTTCACAAGAAACAGCAAAATTCCCACATCTGAAACTCAATTGCCCTAAATAATACAACGGAAACGTGGGCGAACTTAACACTGTAATTCCATTTGTCTGTGGAATACTCCAAAGATAAAAAGAAAGTGCCACTTTGGGGGAGGGGAAGTAGGAAGAATCATGTTTATATTCCACAGACCACCTCTCTCCACCCAGGAGACAGGAAACCTTTTCTCCTTTCTTTCCAGTTCAATTTGTAGTCCTAGAAGACTGCACATTTGAGGCCTTCCTTTTTCTCATTTACCCATTTTACACTTCCTTCTTTGAGGTGCAAGGTTAGACAGAAATAGTGAGCACAGTTCAAGTCTTATGTCGCACAAAAAAAACCCCTCTCTGATCACAAAGATAGGCAAATCATGTGATGAAAAAGCAAAGTGGGTCATACAATATCACATGCGATTTTTGTTAGACAAGTTAAAACATACATACCATTTCTCTTTCCAGCAAAAGGAAAAGAAGAAGAAATTATAATTGCTTTTGGAAGTCTACATCCATGAGATCACATAAATAATAAACTTTAGCAAATTGCATGACAACATCAGATTAACATTAGGTCCGAACTGTTGTGGCTTCTTCCATATTTGAGATGTGACAAAAACTTGCTAAAGCTAAAAATCTTGTTATGTTAGGAGTGTACTTACAACAGGAGCATCTGTCATCGAGTAGCCACAAGGACTAACTAGAAGAACGACACCACAAACATCAGATAAATCACCAAGGACAATGACAAACTCAACAGAGGCAGCACTGTGGGGAGCTCTCCAAAATGAATCTTGTGCTCCAGAATTCAATGGAGCTAGCAATGACATGAATGGTGCAGAACCTGCTGCTGTTTCAACCTACAAAAGAAGGAGCAGGATTACACCTATTATAGATACTGAAACATTTGTAGGGCTTCAATATGATACTAAAACATTCTTCGGGCTTCACAAAGAGCAGGTGGTTTGTATCTTTAAGAGATATAAGAAAGAATTTGTTAACTTCTGGGATAACTAAACAAAACTAGTAACTTCCCAACCCCCTATTCCAAAATAGGGTTAAGGACTGAATTACCAGCAGAATCAAAGTGTCACAGGTAATTCAAGATTCACTAATAAACTAACCATTGCTTCAGCAAGTTTCTAAATGGGGAGAAGAAGAAAAGGCAGTACCAATATTTAACAAAACAGCTAATCATAACTTAGGGCAGCCCGGTGCACTAAGCTCCCGCTATGCGCGGGGTCCGGGGAAGGGCCGGAACACAAGGGGTCTATCGTACGCAGCCTTACCCTGCATTTCTGCAAGAGGCTGTTTCCACGGCTCGAACACGTGACCCAACTTTACCAGTTACGCCAAGGCTATCGTAACTTATTATCATTAATTATCATCATATTAAACTTTGCAATTATTTTTCGTGATTTCCAAAGTTTATCCATTTAAAAGTTTCACTTCTACCAAACTAATTCAGGAAAATTGATTGAATCCAACTGCTCCCAAATTGATTGATCTAATACGACCCCTCTTTTGTAGACTCCATTTTCATCAGCATTCACACACCAAAAAAAGACAATAAAGATGCTTGCACCACAGCCTAATTTCCAAAAGCATCACAGCCCTT